ACCTTAATCAAGAACACCAATACCCTCATCCCCTAAAAAGGAGCCCCGCCCCTAAGGGCTTCCTTGGTGGCTCAGTGGTAAAGAATCCACCTGCTAATGCAGGAGACACGGGTTTGCTCCCTGGTCTGGGATGACCCCACATGCCGTGGAGCAACTAAGCCAGGGCCGCAGCTGCTGAGTTTGTGCCCTAGAGCCCGTGCTCAGCAAGAGAGGCCACGATGAGAGTCGGAGCAGTTCAACCAGAGCCCCCCACCCACCAACGGAGGAGAGCCCGTGCTCAGCAAGAGAGAACCAGCCAAAAATAAAAAGTAAATAAGATCATAAAAATAAATAAATAAAAGCCACAACCATGATACAAACTGAAAAAAGAATCTGGTTGTATTCTAGTCTACCAGACATTAAATTGATTTTTTAAAAAGGTGGGGGGAGCCCCTTTATTTCCCAGACACCCATCAATATTTGGTCCTGAGGCTGCCCTTCTCCCCACTTCTGTCAGCCGCTGACCCCACATCTTAGCTGGAGAGTATTTTCAAGCTCTGTCAGAGCCCAGAACTCTTAAGTGAAAAAAAACCATGCGCTGGCCCAGCTCTGACCCTGTGTCAGTGGGTGTCAAGAGCCCTGTTGCAACAGGCAGAGCCCAAAGTAAGGCGCAGGGTCTCTGAACCCAGAAGCCAGACCTTCCCCCAAAAAACCACAGGCCCCAACCTCAGAGATTTGCAACTTTTCTTTATAACATCCTGTTAGTTTACTTCATGCTCCTCAAACAATTAACATCCGCTTTTAACACAAAGATCCCTTAGGCTCCACACTGAGCCCCCAGCCCCGCGTGCTCCTCACCAGCATGACCCCCATCCCCTCCCACAGGTAGCTGCGTGCACCCCTCAGGAGCCAGGCAACACACTGTCCTCAGCGCCTTCAGTCCTCACCGACGCCCTCTCCCAAGTTCCTCTAGTTCCAATCACACAGCTTAGCCCAGACCAGCAAAGCCCAGAGAATATTTTACCAGTTCAAAGACGTTCCTCTCCACTGTTCACTGCAGTAGCCATTAACCACATCTAGCTGCTGACACTTGACATGTGGCTAGCAGCTGGCTTTTAAATTTAACTTAGCTTAATTTAATTCATCAATTTTAATTAATTTTAATTTAAACAGCTCTGCATGGGCACTGGCTACCATAGTGGACAGTACAGCCTTAAGATTACATTTGTTAATTGCATAATTTCACCTTCTCCAAAAAAGTTTCTGGACCTCCAAACTTTAAGGCCACTTGCAATCCTCCATACAACACAAAGCATATGGTAGGATGCTCAGAGAACTGTTAACTACCTGTAATGACAGTGGAGATAAAAGAGGCTGGCCGGTCAGTGGACCTTGCATCACCCTGTGATTCCATGCAGCAAACCCCCACCTGGAACACTGCCCCTCACTCAGCTGCGCTAACTCTGCTTGCTCCTTGCCAGGCGCACAGCAGAGGATGCCGCCTGCCGTGTGCGGATGAGGCAGCCCCGCTTTCTCTCTGACAGTGTCCAGACCAACCCCGAGGGGTTCTGAGCCGCGGCCCTTGGTATCAGCAGACACCAAGGAAGCCTCATGGCAGCGACACGAGTCACCTGGGGAGGGAGGACTGGAGAAAGGGAAGGAGAAGGAACAGGGCTTTGCTTCCTCTAACTCATGCAATGGGAAGACAGACAGCGATAAGTGACGACAATATTCTGTACTCTGTAAAGCAATGACATGCGTCGCCGAGTCAGTCACACAGCAGAGGCGGACAACGGGTGCTGGCTTTAATTAGATTTGTTCAGCTAATACCTAGGAGTCACCATGACACAATGAAGCAGGAAGCAGCAGGGGACAGGACCAATTAGTGCACGAGTGGGTTGAGACTAGGTGTCCCTACCAAAGAAATAGTGAACAGAACTCTCATGTTCTTACACACAAAAAAAATAGTAACAGTAAATAAGATTTCTAGCGAACACTTGCAAAAAGTGGAGGCGGTGGTAAAAAAAAAAATTGTTACTCCAGATTTAAAACTTACGGAGCTGCTGAGTTGGTTTATAAGCTGCCCCTCCAACTCTGGGGATCACTGCTGGGAGGTGATAAACCCCACCCAGCAACCCCTGACCCAACAGTCAAGGAGGGGCCCGCAGTGGGAGTAGTTCCTGGGGCTTGAGGGGCTCTGGAGCAGCAGCCAGTCCTAGGACCAAGCCCACCGATGTCACTGCAGTTATCAAGTGGGAAGAGGTCAGACATCCCGGGTTCTGATCCTGATTCAGCCAAGGGCATGGCTGTCTCACCTCAAGAGAGCCTTTGCTCTGGGCCTTGGCTTTCTCATCTGCAAAATGAGAGAGATAGATGAGATGACCTCTACTGTCCTTCCAACTCTGAGTGAAGTATCAGTGTGACTCAGGCCTTAGCAAAAGCAGCCAGGAGAGACCATGAGCCACGGTCATCACACCGACCAAGAAGCATTTAAATGCTGCATCTCTCAGGAGGATGGAGAGAAACAGCAGGGTGGGTTGAGGCTATTTTTAAAAGTACTGATTACATTTAATAGGACTAAGAGGTCACCAGACCACAGACAGAGGAGCAGGCCATCACGGCAGCTGCCACCTCTCATCAAGTCGCAGGGCTGTGAGATAGCAGTGACTAGAACCCCGTCAGAGGCCCTGCAGCTCTCTGCCCTAAACCCCAGGAATGGCCTCACGCTCTACATGGAGCAGAGGCCTCCTTCCTTTCTCTTCAGGCACCTTTCCGATGAGGCAATCCCCACATCTTCCTCCCTAGCTTCATAATCAAAACACTCCTGGTTTTGAAAATCATTTCACTACTCAGCACCTACGGTTAGGTTAGTCAAGATTCAAGATCTGGAAATCTCTTTGGCGTGTCTCTGGAACAGCTGTTTGAGGCAGGCGTCCCCCACAGCTGTAATTACGTCTTACCCAACATTGGACGTGGAGGCACTGTTGATAGCGCTGTCAGTCACTGAATGCCTCATCCCTTCTTCCTTCCTCTATTATTAAGTTTTTATACAAAGATGTGTGGGAAATCTACAATTTAACAGTTGAGTCAACTTGTGAGATCTGGGAGCAGGTTGCCTGTCAAAACACACTCTGACTTCAATCATCACCTGCTTCTAACCTGAGAAGGGCAAACTAGGAGTGTTACTTAAAATACTGCCGGATCTTCCCTTTCAATATTATTTAAAGGGGAAAAAAATCCAAATCTCTCTCCTATTAATTACAATAGAAATCTGAATTGCCACCCAAAAGCATTTTAGGGGGTAGTTCTGAGTGTCTATCAAATAGAGTAAGGAGCAGAAATTGAGAGCTTTTGTTCTGAGTCTTTATACCATATTCCAACTATCCAAGAAAATGAGCAGCCAGTGTCCCCAAACTGCTGGTGGGTGAAGGCAGATGGCGTCTCAGAGGGGACAGAAAACTCTCCTGGAAAGAACATCTGTCACTTCCTCAACGGTACAGGTTAACTGTGGTCCACCAGTGTTCACTCAACTCCACTCCCCAAGGTCAGAGCAACGGTCAAACCACCACTCTCCCTCCCTTCCCCAGTTTTCAGTATGGAAAGAACAGTCTAAGGCACAAATATTAAAGAGTTCCGGATACTGATGCATTCCTTCTCCAAAAGTCCAAAGCAATAGCTTGTAGTAAAAAACCAAAGAAATCTGACAGTGTTGAGGCTAGCTGAAGTTCTCCTGGGAATGGAAGAATGAAAGTTGCAAGAAATCAGTTTTAGAGGCCTTAAAATCTATAAATCAAACATGCATGCCTTCTACAACCTCAAGTACCAGAGTTTTATTATATCTAATTATATATTCCAACAGTCCCACCCATGACACATATCTGAGTTGTGCTTGACTAGCTGAAACACAGCTAGCCATAGGGGTTGAGGAGGAAGAGAAAATGTAACACAGGAAGTATTTTTCTCCTCCTCCAATCATTAAAGACACCTCAAGGGAAACAGGCATTATGTGTCACCTTTAGAGATGTGGTTTGATCTGAAACCCCTCTTAGGGGAAAACCTTTTCAGTGACCCTAGACACTTGCTCACACTGCACTAGGGACTCATCAGACCTCCAAGTTCATTATTTTTAACTTCGAAGTAGATATTCCCACTGAAATCCCTCCTCTCCCCACAGCAGGGATTAAAAAAAAAAAAAAACAATAAAAAGAGGTTGGCTTTTCCCAACTCCAGGAAAACGCTCCCTCCTACTGTCCACCAATCGTCCAAGTCCAAGACTCAAGTGGCCATCTCCGATTTGTGGATTCAGCCCGGATCCACGCCGTGGTTTTCCAGATCCTGTTTACAATGATCAATGGAACTATGGAAACAGCAGACACCGCGCTGGAGCCTGCTGGCCTCCCATCTGGAGCTTCGCGGGCACCGAAGGTAGGAGGGGGCCAACTCCCGATCAAAACAATCCCTGCCCCCGCGCCCGGAATCTCCAGCCTTACACCTCCCCAGCCGGAGCGCGCCCCGAGGCGGCACAGCCGCTCTCACGAGGCCCAGGGAAGTGAAATCACACATTCCGGCTCCCAAATAAGGAGCGAGGCTAAATAAACCTCTCGAGATCCGACTTCTCCAAACCAACCCACCAACCAGCTCAATGAGTAATGGGCCTTTTGTGCCCGCGGAAAGAAGAGAGAGGCGGGAGGAGAGGACCGGGAACCACAAGCCCCCCGAAAACCGCTTCCTGAGACGGGGAGACGAGCCCAAGTGGTCCCAGAAACCCACCGGGGTGACTTGGATGGAGGGCGCTCAAACCCCAAACGCCCGAGTCCTCACGAGTCCCCGTGAGTCCCTGCAGGTGACCGGAAACCCGGCCCGCTCGGCCGCGACCCTCCCGCGGCGCCCGCAGCCCCCGCCGCCCGGGGGACACACGCGGGACGAGCGGGGCGGGGAGGGCGGCCCGGCCGCCCGGACGCGGGTCCGGGGAGCGCGCCGGCGCCGCCCTGGGAGCCCCCCACCCGCCCCGCGCCACCTACTTTCAGGGCGAATTTCTCCTGCGTCCTCTTGCTGAAGATCTGCAGAACTTTGCCGTTGATGCCCAGCCCCAGGACCTGCGTGGTGACCTTGTAGTCGTCGATGATTGCATTCTTCTTGATCTGCAGGCTCGACCTGACGTGGAACTGGGGGAACTGCGGCGGCGGCGGCTGCGCCGGGGCGGGGGGCGGCGGCGGGCCGGGGCACAGCGCGGGCGGCGGGCCGGGGCACGGCGCGGGCGGCGGGCAGCACGGCGCGGCGGCTGCCGCGGCGGCGGCGGGCGGGGGCGCGGCGCCCGCGCCGGACAGCATGGTGCCCGCGGGCGCGGGCGCGGCGGCCGGCCCCGCCTCCGGCTCCGGACGCGGGCCCCGCTGCCCCCCGCCCGGCCGCGAAGTTTGCTCCGGGCGGGAGCCGGCTTCCCCGCCCCGGCCCGGCTCCAGGCTCGGCGGGTCGCGCGGCTCCGTGGGTCCCCGCTGCGCGCCGCTGGCGCCCGCCGGCCCTGCTGCCTGCCTGCCTGCCTGCCGCCCTCCCCCCGGGGGCCGGGCGCTCGGCGGGACGCGGGGGACGGCGCGCGGGGCCCGGCCGGGGGGGAAGCGGCCGCGCAACAGAGTACCCAGCCCGGGGGCCGGCGGCCGCGTCACAGCCGCGTCTGCGTCCGGGGCCGGGCCTTAAAGGGGAGGGCCGAGAGGGCGGGGCCGGGGCTGTGGGGGCGGGGGGGGCGGGGCTGGCCTTAAAGGGGAGGGCGGCGGCGTCCCGAGAGCCGAGGGCCGCCGGGAGCTGGGAACCGGGCGTGAGGACCGCCGCACCGAGAAACCCTCAGTTCAGTTCAGTCGCGCAGTTGTGTCCGACTCTTTGCGACCCCACGGAACGCAGCACGCCAAGCCTCCCTGTCCATCACCAACTCCCGGAGTTTACTCAAACTCATGTCCATCGAGTCGGGGATGCCATCCAACCATCTCCATCCAAAGCTCTAGTTGTCCATTAGTGAGGGCCGCGCAAAGGGAAACGGGGGGTGCATGAAAGTGCATTATCAGATGGAAAATCCACCTTCTCCAATTGTCTACCTCAAGACAGCAGCCGCTGCGGGTGTCTTTTCAAGGCGAGGCATGACTCGTGAGTATGAGCCGGGGTGAGACCGCCGGGGGTGAGCTGGAATTACAGAAGCCGTTCATCCCCGGAATAGGGTGAGGCAAACACGGACTGTTTTCTTAACTTGAACACTTTCCTCTGAGTTTTACATTTCTTTTCCCACAAATTTGTTTTTCAGTAAAGATCTGTTACTGTATGAACACTGGTAATTATACTTTTGAACATTTTTTTTTCCAGGTCAATTAGATAAAAGGGGATAGAGAGCAGGAAGAGGACGGAGTTCAGACTGCCTGAATTCAGGCGGCCTTTTCCTTTGGCTAGTCGGTGCACCGCTCCCAGCGGCAAGAACAGGGCGTGGAGAGAATTCCCTGAGACAGTGTACCAAAAAGAGACAATGTACCTCATCTCCAACATGGAAAAGTTAGCCCCTGAACCTAGAGCCACAAGAAATGGGTGTTTTTAGAAAAAGAGACACAGATGTATAGAACAGACTTTTTGACTCTATGAGAGAAGGCGAGGGTGGGATGATCTGAGAGAATAGCATCGAAACATGTATATTATCAAGTGTGAAACAGATCGCCAGCCCAGGTTGGATGCATGAGACAAGTGCTCGGGGCTGGTGCACTGGAATGACCCAGAGGGATGGGGTGGGGAGGGAGGTGGAAGGGGGGTTCAGGATGGAGAACACGTGTAAATCCATGGCTGATTCATGTCAATATAAGGCAAAAACCACTACAATATTGTAAAGTAATTAGCCTACAACTAAAAAAAAAAAAAAAAGAATTGCATGGAAAAAGAAAAAAAAAGAAATGGGTGTTTTTGAAGAAGCCAAATTCTGGTCCAGTTTAGCCTCAAGTCTGAAGACACCAAGGAAAGTGAAAGTCACTCACTCAGTCGTGTCCAACTCTTTGGGACCCCGTAGACTATACAGTCGATGGAATTCTCCAGGCCAGAATACTGGAGTGGGTAGCCTTTCCCTTCTCCAGGGGATCTTCCCAACCCAGGGATCCAACTCAGGTCTCTGGCATTGCAGGCGGATTCTTTACCAGCTGAGCCACAAGGGAAGCCCACCAAGGGTCTAGCTAGACCTAGACACGTGGCCCACATTAGGGGAGGAGGTTGGAGAGGCCCTAAATATACACTGACAGAGGGTCTCTGTACATATTCTGATGGAGGTTTGGGGATGATCATGAAATACATCCCTGCTGACCTCCCCACTGACTGGTAAAACAGTTCAGAAATAAGATAAAGAAACCACACAGGTGAAGACAAAACCTCAGCTTAATAACTGAGAGGGCTGAATTAGAGAGAGTGACTTGACCTAGGGCCACACGTGGCTCCTCATGTGTGCCCCCGACATTCTGGAGTCCCCTTGTCCAGGACGACCCTGCTTGGGGAGAAGCAGAGCAGAGCGGGGAACATCCTAAGGACAGGTGCCCTGGGGCCTGAGCCCGGGCCGGGAAGGCGTGAAGGGTAGCTGGGACAGGAGCACAGTCCCCTCCAGGACTCACTCCAGGGTCAAGGAGAAGTACGGTTCCCCTAACACCAGTACCCGCTCTTTCTCAGCAGTTAATTTAGTGAACACCTTGACTTTGGACAAGATGCCATGCTCAGGCCTGCAGTGGCGGATGGTGTTGAGTGGGGGGAAGAAGCAGGCAGCATCAAGAGAGTGGCACTCACATAAGTCTTGGAGGGGAAGACGGAGGGATCCTCCTCTGTCTACGAGACTGGGAGCTTCCTCTCGTGCTGGAGGGCAGACAGGTTAGACGGTTCCGCATTCCTCTAACTCCTCAAAGATGGGCGCAGAGATTGGAAGACACCTCACCCATTCGGCAGTACCACTGTCCCCTCCCTGGGGCACATGAGGAAGATGCCCACAGACCAAGAGAAGGATGCAGGCATGGGGAGGCGGAAACACCAGCTTCTTGGTCTCATCTCAGCTGGGGCTGGGGCTGTGCAGGGCTGGGAGTTGGTCTTTCTCCCTCTGCAGAGAGTCACTGGGGCCTTCCTACTGCCTGGCACTGAGTTTTTACCTGCTTCTCTCCACAAAGCTAGAAAGAGGATAAGCTCTTTATGCTCTTTCAGAGACAGAGGCACAGTGGAAAGAGAATAGAATTTAGAGACAAATGACCTAAATTCAAGTCTCTCCTCTTTGTATCTGGAAAAAAAAAAGAGAGAAAAATAATACATTCGAATATCAAGGTTGAATGAGAATTAAATGAGATAGTGTTCATGAAAACTCCCCATAAACTAGAAATGATCGTGAAATAGTAAATCTTATCACGGCTGAAGCTTTGTTGACTTGCTTTTCTGCTCTGTGCCCACTACCTGGGGATCTGTCCCTGATACGAGAGCTGCCTTCCTATCTAGCTGGGACTCTAGGGAGATGCTGCAGCCCAGTGACCTAGGAATAACTAGACAACTGAAACCCCAGCTGGGGCTTCCTCCTGGAATTACAAAGACCAGTTAGGCATAAGGGGCACACAAGAACTCAGTGCATAGAGATTACATAAAGCGCACACACAGCACGCAGAAAACACACACATGTATGAACGCAAACACATAAGTGCAATGTGCCTGGCATGTAGCGGAAACAGAAAAAATGCCTGATGGATGGAGAGTAACTAGGGAGAGAGATGGGCTAAGAGAAGAACCTTAGATGGGCAAGAGATGCAGTGCATTAAGTTCCAGTCCAGTCCTAACCAGTTGTGTAATCTCATGCAGGTCCCATGCCTCTCAGTTCTGTCTTTCTCATCTGTCAAACAGTGATTATAAGATCTGCCCTGCCTCCCTTTAGAGCTACTGGAAGAATAAAATATTTTTTAGGACATAGAAACCCAGAGTTCAACCATCTGTAATGAACTACTTAGACAATTTTTATGGCTATGTAGAAGCACATAAAAAGTTAAAAGTCTCTGCAAATAGAAAGTACTACTTTTGTTGACATGCAAACACATATGCCATGCAATACTGTATACACAAAGACCATTTAAAGACCTCAGGTACAAAGAATTGGGTTAATTATAATCCTTGATTCATGGCACATCCTCATCATTGAATCATTGTTCCTTGAATCTCTGCTTTTATTTAATTAGTTATTAGGTTTTTGTCTTTTTGGTTTTGGGGGGTGGGGGGAGGTTGGGGCCTCGTCTTGTAGCTTACAGGACCTTAGTTCCTTGACCAGAAATTGAATCCAGGCCATGGTGGTGAAAGTGTCAAATCCTACCCACTGGACCACCAGGTAATTCCCTAGTTGTTTTTAATAATGCAGTCGGCACCTGTGAATCCACTACCCAAAGTGAAAACTAGGACTTTGACAAAAAGCACGCATCTAACTAGGTGGTTGCTCTATTCACCCCCAACCCAACTCTGTTTTCTCTGGCCAAGATAACCATTATCTTGAATCCAATGTTCGTCATTCTTTGGCTTTCCATTTATGTAGTTTTGCTTCATCCGTTCAGCTCAGTCGTGTCTGACTCCTTGTGACCCCATGGACTGCAGCACCCAGGCCTCCCGGTCCATCACCAACTCCCGGAGCTTGCTCAAACTCATGTCCATCGAGTGGATGATGCCGTGCAGCCATCTCATCCTCTGTCATCCCTTTCTCCTCCCTCCTTCAATATTTCCCAGCATCAGGGTCTTTTCCAATGAGTCAGCTCTTTGCATCAGGTGACCAGAGTATTGGAGCTTCAGTTTCAGCATCACTCCTTCTGGTGAATATTCAGGACAGGTGTCTGACCTTCAAAAAAGGTGAAGCTCATTGTGTCTTAAAAGGGAGATGGATATGGTGACTTTATCAGAAAGATGAGGTTAAAATAAGGAAACATCTTGTCATAGTTCCAGAGTATTCCCCACCTCCTCATGGTGAGATGGTGATGGCGATGGTGATTAATGAATGCATACTGTATGTCCAAGACTGTGCTCAACCCTCCAGCGTTTCATTCAAATCTCAGGAGGATCTGTGGTAGAGACTGCTGGTTGTCTCTGCCAGTATCCATTTCCCCCTCTTTGATAGTAAAGAATCTTGAATAATTAGTGAAGCACGTGACTGCCTGGAATAAAAACTACACTTCCTAGCCTCCATTACAGCTGGTTGTGTTCATGACTTGTAAATGAAAGCTATTAAGGGAAGCAGCAGCCTCCTTTCCTTCTTCTCCTCCTCTTTCCTCCTCTTCCTCTTTCCTCCTTCCTGGTGGTTAGAATAAAAATGTAATGGCTGGGG